GTGTAGCTGTAATGGAAAAGTGGAACGAGTAAATTATACTGAAGAAGACATGTAATTTCGACGGAAAACAAGAAAAATATTATTATACGAAGTTGGCAAAATAAAATGTTTTTTCGATGTTTTTTATGTTTTATTACTATCATGGTGTAGCTCAGGGGCGAGAATCAAGAAGAGGGAGAGCAGCCAGCAGAACCAGAGGAAGAAGCTGAGAGGCACATCTGGTTCCATCAGCCTTTCTTGCAAACAAGCAGGAACGCCCCCTGTTGTCTAAATACAGAAATGGGGATTTTGTGGCTCGGTTCAAAGAACTTTGTTTCCCCATTTACAGAATTATAATTTCCTTTTAATGTTTCATTTTCATTTATACCTGTCTGAGTGTGTTCTCATTTATTTACAGTAGTAGACATACAAGGACTCTGGAGGACTATATTTCTACGATATAGCCTTGAATATGGCAGCAATTTAATAGCAATTTTATCTTTGGTAGTAACATTCTCTGTCTGGCAGGCTTTAAAGAATATTGGTTTCTGAATCTGCTCTGCCAAAAACATTGAATGTGATTATTTGGTGCTTAGGGTGAAACTCAAAAACATCAAATACAGTAAAAATATATCTGGAGCACATGTCTCATCCATGCATATCGTTTTTAGAAGACAGACAGCCGACGACGGCAGATGTAAAGTGCTGGTTTTTTTCCATTAGTATTGAAGGTTCAGACTGCTGTTAGGGTTCAGTGGGGTTTTTACAAGAACGGTAGTTCTCAGAATAAGAGAATACGTTTCATACATTGCATTCATCATCTCTCTCCACATGGTTCAGTTGCCCCTTTGATAATCACCCTTTGAGGCAAGGCTGTAATAAACGCTGTCAAGTGCAGGAGCTAATAAAATCCATTTACAATCCTGTATCACAGCAGCGAGAAAAAGACGAAACCCACAGGCTCCACAGACGGCTTTAAGAAAACAAGTACATCATAAGTAGATGCTAGACATAATCACGTAGTTGATGCTGTTTCAACACATGCTTCCAAAAAACTGATGACGATTTCTGATGCAAATGATTTTGTTTTTGAACGTAATGAGGAATATCTACTTCTGTTTTCTGCAAGAAAATGTTGTAATTTCTTAGTAGGTGTATACGCAACAATTAACTGCTGTTATGCAGCTTCAACAACCACAACAATTCATGAGTCTGACGAAGAGGAATTTCCATCCACATCAATCAAATTCATCTTTTGTTTATATATTGATTAATCCTCTGCACCATGTACTATGGTCTTTAAGATTTGCTGATAAGTCAGACGTTTTCGAGGCTTAAACTAACCTGAAGGAGTTGAGAGAAATTAAGATTCAGTGCCAGTTTAATGTCCCACCACCCTAAATTACTTGATTATGAGTCATTATGGGGCTTGTCTGGATCTCCGATAAAGTGATCAGGAAAGGCAGCGGGTGGATGCATACTTCTAACAGTGCGATCAATAACAGAAAGGAGAGACAGGATGAGTGTGTGCGTGTGTGTGTGTGTGT